GATTCTGTATTTTCACATATCAAGATTGGTTGTACGTATGACCACAACGGTTCATTTGCTAAGCTCATTAATTTGTACTTCTAAAGATGTAAACGCCACTTTAGGGATGAAAAAAAAAAGTTGCTTTCGAGACTTAATTCAATGAATCGGGGTTGTGGTGATTAGTTACGATTGCAAGGGTTTGTGGTGAGACTAAAGTTACGATTATGAACAGCCAGTTATTCAGATAGCCTTTATACAACGCTGAACTGTTGAGCCCTCAGCCTCACCTTCTATAATCAACACTGTTCGCACTTCAATGAATAGATAATATATTATCTTGAGCAGTACAGTGATGCTCTCATTTACTTCGGCATTTGACTATAATTTAAGGCTCCATTTCGTTCGATCTTGCCTTGTCAAGAATTTGTCGATGTCTTTACCTTAAGTTAGCGTGTTCTCTCATTGCGCTAATTCCCATTTTGTGTAGACACCACTTTTCATTTAAGGCATGAGAGTGATTGAGTTTTTATAATAGATGTACTGCCGACATGAAATTCAATTTGGACTAAAGTTTTATTATTCAATTATTACAGTGGTCTCCTCCTAAAATATTCTGCTTAAGAATGAACCTGGTCCGCTTTAAGAACCAGCTGTTAACGTGTACTGGAGCTGTTCTCTACAAGCTGCGTGCCGAAGTGCTCGTTTTAAAATAGGAATCCACCTAAGAACCCGGTCGAGATCTCGAGTAATTGGTGATGAAATCTCCACACTACATGGACGCTTACACTTATATATTATTTTCGATAACGTTTTATAGGGCATGCACGATACGGGAACTCTGCCTACCAAGCCAATGGCTTATTGTCCGTTCATAATAAATGTTCGAACTCTTCATTGAAATACATATTAGAATGTTAGGCTTTGTGCAGTATATAGCAATCTCTCCACTGGACGTCACAAAAACGTGAGTGCAGAATTATTTAACTGATCACTGTTGAACACTGCTGCTCCCCTCACTGCTCACTCCTCCTCACGAAGGATTGTGTTCTCAACTATAACGGCAACACTTGCGTAACTGTATTATTAATATGTTTCTTCATGATTTCGCTTTTGTAGGTGCTATAAACACTAAATGTCTTACGTTAATAAGAATGAGTTATAAATTGACCTGACGGACACTGGATGTCTAACATGCATTTTATATCATCCAGGGTATATAAGAACCACTCAATGGTTTGGTAAAATCGATCACATGTTTGCTGAGAAATCTTGCTTCAACACGTACCATGTTTATAATTAAGTGAACAGACTACAGAGGTAGTCGATTGGTACATTCACTTTAGCTCCCCTCTCGTGGTCATAGCGTCCGACGGTCTTGTCAAAGCTGGGCAGTTTGTTTGTTTGTTTGTTTGAGTAAAGAGAAGCACATCGACACACTAATAGTCATTTTGTGCTGGGAAATAGTAAGACAGACAGACAGAAGCAACAAAGGAAAAGTATTGAAGTAGGACTGCCCAGTAGCGCCCTCCAACCACCCGCTGGTCAGTCTCCGCGGTCATTCTTTCCCTTCACTTACTCAGCGTTGTGACTTGTGCTGTTTCTTTGGACATTTTAAAAAACAACAATGGTGTCGTAAAAATTCACTCTGAAGCCTCTGTTCTTCACTTGCACCCAAAACAACGCACCACACATACACACACACACACTCACATACACACACACACACACACACATACATACATATACAAACACACACACACACACATACATATACAAACACACACACACACACACACACACACACACACACACACACATACATATACAAACACACACACACACACACACACACACATACACACACACACATATACATAAAGCCTACTCACAGAAATACACATATACACTCTTAATATGCACTTATGAAAGCTTCCTAGCTACCTAGCTACCTACCTAGCTACCTACCTACTTACCTACTTACCTACCTACCTACCTACCTACCTCCTTCCATCCACCCACCCATCCATCCACCCAGCCATCCATCCACCCACCCATGCATCCATCCACCCACCCACCCTTCCATCCATCCATTCATCCACCCATCCATCCTTCCTCACATCCACCCACCCACCCACCCATCTTTCCATCCATCCATCCATTCTTTTATCTCTCTCTCTCCCTCTTTCTCCAGGTCAGAACTTGCTGAGCCCCGCTCTCCTCCAGAAGTCAGCGGGTGTGGACAAACTTTCCCCGTACGGCTGGAGGTTGTCTCAAGCATTCCAGGGCACCAAGCTCAACTCGCACAACTCCTCACAGTTTTTACGTCACTTTCACGGAGATTTCACTCTAGATATATCTGGGATGTTTCAAAACAGCTCACAAGGGATTCTCTTACTTGTGACGAAAGCCAATAAGATATTGCCTTATTTAGAACTGTCTGTTGATCTACAGAAAAACGTTTTAGTTTTAAGATATTTAGGCGTTAAGTCGTTTCAGAGAGTGACAGTTGAAAATGTGTTCCCTGCATCAAAGTGGATTTATCTGCACATTTCATTGCAGGGAAGGGAAGTAGCAGTGAATGTGGATTGCCGACACTCTGTGTCTGCGATATTACGACAAAGCATACGACCCGTTCCACGGGATGCGGATATTTTGTTTGGACCGAACGTTTATGGAAAAACTGGATTACAGGTACGACAATGGCAATGGCGATCTTTATTTCTTCATCTCGCAAGGAGAAATTTGTCTTGGTCGTTTACAATGGTTACGTGAACTCATGCATATGCACAACAAGACAGGACATTAGTAAATACGTGTCTCATGTAGCCTACTGCAATCAAACGCTCCATAAAACTCTCTCTCTCTCTCTCTCTCTCTCTCTCTCTCTCTCTCTCTCTTTCTCTCACTTATGTCTGAGTATCTTTTACTTGTGAAAGTACATATAGTAGGGCCTAATATATAACATTAGAAAACCCATCAAACTACAGTGCTAACTGATGGTGACGTTTATGATCTAATAGTAAAACTTTTATTACAAAATAAAGTTTCAGAGGGTAGAACTTAGTCACAAAAAATACACAATAATAATAATTCTTTAATCAGCCTTCATTCAGAGAAACAAAGTTTTCCTTTCTCTGTAGTCAAAAGTTTATTTTGTAGTATCTTTTGAGTGAATGATGTTTTTAAAAAATGAACCTGCAAAGTTGGCTATTATTTTTTAAATTGTAATTGTTTCCTTTTTGTTATGTTTGCAGGGTGTGGTGTTCACGGCTGTTCTCTACTCCCATACTTCTGTCTTGGCGGGATGCAACGCGTACTTGGATGTTCCAGGTTATTAGTATAGTGTACTTAAAAGAAAAATTAAAATGATAATTTTGGTGATTTTTGTTTCAATGCCATGTCTTGTTGTGCTATGAGTATGATTCATCATAATAAAGCCAGTAAAAGCTAAATCATCTTTTCTGCATGAAAGTTGTAGTTATGTTCAATGATTTGGGATTTTTTTCTTTCCATGTCTCAGTAAATGATCAACCTATTGAGCTGGGCAAGGGCTTCACACTGACTGCTCCCTTTGAAATGGCCACGGTGGAGGACAGGATTGCTTTACTGGAACAAAGGCTGGAAGGTCTGCAAGCTGAGGTGAGGGCCATTAAATCTTTGTAGTATAGCAGAGATTGAATGCTAGAATGTATGTATGTAAGTTTTGTCAGATTGGTTAGCGTCTTTTCATGATGTTTTAGTGTACTGGGAACCACACATCTAAAGACCTAAGATTTTATGAAACCTTAGGTTCAGTGAAAGAAGAAAGGACCACCCTTTTTTACATTGTAATCAAAAATGCACTTAACATTGAGTGAATTCTTAAATGAATTACTTGAAATGCAGCAAAATAGCTTTCCCAATAAGCAGCTTTATTAACATATCGATTTTTGTCCTGAGTGCAAACGTTCCAAGATGCAGTCTCTGCTGATGTGTTGATTACTGAGTTTAGTGTGAGCACTAGAACATAGGGTAATGAGTCTTTCCTGAGATCACAACCTTCTGGTCAGTAATATGACCTTTGACATATTTGGACTGTGAGTCTTACACTATGATCTCATGACTGGTTGCTGTAAATTATATTGCAGATGTTATACATCCACTTTGGCACAATTTAGATGATTCAGGAGGTAGGCTGCTTCTATCCCGCCTTTCAACTTGGACTGAAGGCAAGAGATTTTATATAAAATAGCTTCTCCCCCCTTGGAAACTGAAGTTGCATCCTTTTAATGTGTGGTGAAGAGTCTATTCGGTGCTTAGTAGATGCCATTCTTTTTGTTTCTGTATCTTAGACCATCAACTGAATAGACTAAAAAAAAATTAGTCATGAACTCTTTTTGTTTTATTCCAATCAATTGTTTTTCTCAAGTTCTCTGTCTATGTATTAAAAATGAGGTTTTACTTCTTTTTTTTTTTTAAAGCTGTGGGAAGATTGGTAATAAGGCAATATCATTGTATCTATTATGAAGTGATTTGTTGAACACATTATGCATAAATGTACCTTTTGCTTGCTTCTAATGGCTTTTTGGACAATGTTTTTCAGAATTCTGAGTTACGATCAAGGGTTGCGTATCTAGAGACGTGTGAGTGCTACCCCCGGTGCAACTTTAATGGAACAGTTTACGAGCACGGAGACACCTGGACACCAGACACCTGCACCCTCTGCCAGTGTTGGGTAATGTGTGCACGAGGTCATGTGTACTCATCTTTGTAATGAACCCTATCATATTATTTATAGAATGCACTTTTCCTGTTTGAACTAAAAACCTTTTTATTTACAGATTGTGTACTTTTTATTGTGGGTTGATTTAAGTCAGAAAGAGTTTCTTGTGAATGAAATACATTATATGTCTCTCAGTTTGAAATTAATCTCATAGATTAATTTAGAAAACTATACAATATCAAATTCATATTGAGTTAATGTTTCTTTATGTATTGTATTTATTGAACCTCCGCAGAGTTTAAACTTCTCCTTTCCAATGAGTGTCTTGTATGATGTGATGTGGGCCAATGGCCGTAAACACTTAAACTTACCTACTCAACTTGTCTTTTCCTTTCAGGAGAACAGACCAGTATGCCAGCCTCGTTTGGATCTGCCTAACTGTGCAGGTGAGTTTGTTTCTATAAAATGTATTTTTCTGCAGATTCATCTACAGGTAAGCGGTAAGCATTCATGTATTAGTTTGAGAGTTATGTTTTACCTCCCGATGTTTATTTGCCTTGTTATGTAAACATTTTAACTTCCTTCTTCACGTCTTTGATTGTACAAACTGGTTTGTATTCAATGATCAGTCAGCAAGAAAACCTGTCGTAACATGTTCATGAAATTTTCTTACTCTCCTTCTGCTTGATTTAGACTGAAAATTAATCTTTTACATTCTCAGTGACTTTATATTGATTGTTGTCATTTCTTTCTTCAGAGCCATGTATCAGCAGCCCGTGTCTGAATAACGGAGAGTGTATAAGCTCCAGTGCGGACTTGGATGTGTCGGCGTTTCACTGTCAGTGTCCTCCTCCGTATGACGGATCCACCTGTGAGATTCGGCAAAATCCTTGTGCCTGGCCGGTTGATCCTGGATCATGTGACCAAGAAATTGTTCGTTACTACTACGACAAAATGTCCCATAACTGTTTGCCGTTTATGTTTTCTGGTAAGAACTTTATATATATATATATATATACACACAAGTGTTTGCAAGTGGTTGCTTGCACTCATTTTTATAGAAAGACTTTACCATGGTTTTAAAAGGCTTCTTTCTGTCTTGTATTACTTTGTTAGAAAGAATGAAAAACTTCCAATTTCAGTTGTCACAACAGTTTTTGCTTGATGTCAAGATAACTTTTTTCATTAAATTTTCCACTTTCGTGTATGTGTCATTTTTTTTTTTTCTTATTTTTCAATAAATTTCTGAATTTTCACGACAAATGGAACTTCTGTGAATTGTGAATGGAGAGTTTCAACCTCATACCCCAGTATTAGTAGGAACAAATCTGTTTTATTTCTCTTTCAGTGAATAAAAGAACAAGAGATCATGAAATTTTAGTAATTTTAGTAAGTTTCTATTGGGGGGGGGGGGGGGGGGACACTTATTCGATACCTTAGAGTTCAGCTGAAACAAAATTTATCTTCAATTTTGTTTTTTCTGTGTGCGTATGTTGAGGCTGTGGTGGCAATGTCAACAACTACCACACACTGGAGGAGTGCACGACCATCGCCCTGCGCGGCGCCTGCTGCTACAGGACGTACCGGACAAACATCGAAGACGTGGTCAGGAGCACACAGGAGCTGGAGATCAAATGTCAGGTCAGAGTAATGATTGTGTGATGTGGTGGAATGACAGCGGTTGTTGTTGTTGTTGTTATTGATCCAGCAACTGCTGGGCTCTCGCCCTTCTGTCCAATGCTATGTAGTGATAAGTGCAGGTTTGCTGCAGTTGCTGTAATGTTCCATAGAGTGTGTTGTCAAAGTTAGGTCTCGGAGGGAGAAGGGTAGCTCTGATGTCATTTAGGGCTGTACAGTGGGAAAGGTGATGTTCCACTGTCTCATATGCATAGTCACACAAAGGACACATTGGGGGAAGTTCTGGTTTTATTCTGTTCAAGTGAAAGTTGAGCTGTATATGTTCTGTTCGTAGGCGGAAGATCGTGGTCTGTTTCTTTCCCTGTAGGTGGTTGATATTGTCATTTCGTTTCGTTGTGGTCATATGTTTGAAAACTGCTCTGCCTGTCTTTCCCAAGGCCCATCTGTTCAATAACAGCGGTGAAAATGATCTGTTTTTATAGTTTTCTAGCAGGCTACATTGGTGTCTTTTACCCTTTATTTAAAAATCTGGTGTGTTTTTCCTCATTTTGCGCCATGTATCAATAAATCCACAGTCTTTCTTTTCACTGCACGAACATGTTCTGAGGAGTCTGGAGACGAAAAGTTTTGCTTTGTTTTGAAAGTTTGAAAGTCCACAGGTTGTAAGTTCTCTCCAAGAAACACACAGGCAGGGGGCTGGTGGGTCACCACTGATAGGTCTTATGTACTTTTTTCCTTTACTTTATTTCTGTTTGTGTATATGCAGGGAAGCAGGAGACTAGGTCAGAGAGAGAGAGAGAGAGAGAGAGAGAGAGAGAGAGAGAGAGAGAGAGAGAGAGAGAGAGGAGAGATAGCGAGAGAGATATAGAGAAGAAGAGAGCATGTCATATCTATCATGCTCTAATGTTTTTTTGTTGCTGTTTTTAAAAATAAATCTTTTAATTCCCAGGAGTTGCACATGGTGGAGTGTAAATCCTTGCACAGACAGCCCAGTGGGGACGACTCGGAGACGGAGGTGATCAGTTTCAACCCGGGTCTCACCTGTGCCGAGGCCGCCTGCCAGACCGTCGGGACCTGTGTGGTCGGTCAGCGAGTCTACCAGGAGGGGGAAACCTTCACGCTGGGATGCCAGGATTGTTCTTGTCAGGCTATGGGACAAGTGAAGTGCAGGTTTGGAAAAAAGACCTGCTTATTTTGATGACAAAATCAATATAATATGTGAGGCGTTCTGACAAAATCAGTGACTTCTCGCTATCCACATATGGAGATATCGGCCAAAAATGGACTTTAGGGTACCAAAAACACCACTTAAGTGACAAATTGGAATCAAAGAGTTTATGTCATTCTTTAACTACACTCTAAAGGGTGTTACTAAACATTTTAGAGTGTCACATAATACTTGAAACAACTGTATTTTTCTTTAAATATATTTGCTATTTCATGTACCCTCCTTTATATCGGTGGCATCACTGGTCTAGTAGTTAGGCTACCGGGCTCGTAATTGTGAGGTGGCGGGTTCGGAGGTTCGAGCCTTTGGGCCTGACATTGTGTCCTCGGGAAAGGCACTTTACGCAAATTTTCCTCCCTTCACCCAGGTGGGAATGAATACCAGGCCAGAGAAAGCAAAAGATCTTGTCAGTATAAATGGCTGCTTACACTGTATGCTTCCCTGATTATTTCAGAATGCTCTCAGGTCTGCTGGGGTAATAGTATAGATTATGAAGCGCATAGAGCTTGCTGTTGAGCGGGGATTGGCGCCATACAAGTGCTATCTATTATTATTATTATTATTTATCTTATATTTTCCTTGTTGTTTTCAGGTTTTTATCAGGTTATAAGACTTCATTTTTGTATTTTAACACACAGGTGTGAGAAGCAGTCTGTGCGCCGAGAGATCCGTGACATGACGAGAGAAGAACTTCTCCGCTTCCAGAACGCCGTTGCTCGACTGCGGCAGAGTGAGGACAGGACGTGGGAGCAGTTCCGAGACATGTACATGTACCACGTCATGCACGCCTCTGGCGGGACGTTCTTCCTGCCCTGGCACAGGATGTTCCTGCGTCAGGTTGAGCAGAGACTTCAGGCAAGCCACATGTACATAAGATTTGAGCAGCTTTTGTGAGTTGCTTTATAAGCTCTTTTTTTATGCACAATAGTGCATCAGAGCCAAATCACTGTGAGTTGTGGTTACTGCTCTGATACAACCATAGTTTTTGTATAAAGTTTATACTTGACTTTGTAATGATTCATTCTACCTGTTGAGACCATATATTTTTTTAGGCAAATATTATTAGATCAGAAGGACCAATGTATAAAATTTACATTTCTACAACTTTTTCTTGTAATATGCAGGAAAGATCATTTTTATTACCTTTATTGTATTCAATAGCGGGATTGTTTTTGTCAATCAGTTCAAGTCTTCCATGACCTAACAAATAAAGAGAATCACTCTTGGTATTACTAGGTATGAAAGCTCAATAGCATTTGCTGGAATTACAAATAAGGGAAGAAATAGCCTTGCAATAATTTGTCCCAATTTTTTATTTTTATTTTACAGGAAATTGACTGCAACGTAGTTCTCCCTTACTTTGATTTCACAACTGACATTGGCTTCTTCGAGGAAGCAATTATCTGGCAGCCAAACTACTTTGGAAGCAACGGTGACGGTGGTTGTGTGGAAGATCACCCGTTTGGGCCAAAGAATTCCTGGAGCCCGTGCTTTGTTAGGAACTTTAACACTAGCATTCGCATTCCAAACAAGGTAAAATTACACTCTCTTCACACTTTAGAATTTGTGAAGATGGTTCTTGTAGGTCTGACTTATGCCGGTATTATGACGCTTTTACAATAAAAGATGTTATCTTTGATGTATCCTCATTTCCTTCACTCACTCACTCCTTCCTTCTTTTTTTTTTTGTTGAAGTGACTTATTCGAGTGAAACAGGTACATTTTTAAGCTTACTAAAATAAATATATTTTTTTACCACTCCATATTGCATGATAGTGAAATGAGACCAAAAAGAGGTTTTATCTAGGCGCCTTTCTGAACTCCAATGTTGACAAAGTGGTGAAATGATAATATAGTTTGTCAACTGTATTTTCAAGGGGCTGCAGTTAGGGTCAGTTCAAGTGGTCAGAATTTTCATGCCCCTTCTATTACACTTTCAGCAGAGTCCAGTCGTTACTGGATCATCTCACTGAATGAAGTGAAATGTTGTTTACCTGTTGTCGTCTGAGAAAATTCTTCAAAATTTCTTTATTATTTTATTTAGCAGAAGTGATTCATGAACCGACATGTTATAATAGCTTTGACTAAATTTGAAAATTTTTCTCAGCTCTGAACAATGTATATGATTTACATACAGTTGTGCTTTTACGGTTTCATAGAATAAAAAAAAAAAATTTTCTGGGAATAATGGGAATTCCAGTGAATAAAAAATTTGGATGGCATCAAGATTATCCTCTGTCAAGGTACCGTATTGTGATAAGGAATGAATTCTTCTGATTCAGTCGTTGAATTGAAAGTTTTGTGTGACTTTTCTCTTTCTGCCAGTTTTTAGAGAGAAATGGTCAGTTGTCTGATGCCCTGTATACAAAATGAGTGGGGATCTTAAACTCTCTGTCTACTTATACTGTACGCAAGTTTTGGTCAGGAATCAAACTGTGTCAAAATCACAACTTTCAATTGATAAAACATTCAGTTTTTGAAAAGATATTTTAATATTTTAATCTCTCTGATGTCCTCTATATTGCTTCAGTTGTACACCTTGAAATTCAGGCAGCATTTTTTTCCTTTCCCTTTCCCAGGTGGAGCTGCTGATTGCTCTCGCGAGTGATGACTACAATGACATGAGCCTGTGCCTGGAGACGTACATAGCCTACCTACATAACTTCATCGGAGGAGACATGGTGACCTCCTCCAGCCCATACGACCCCGTGTTTTTCGCTCTCCACGCGTACGTTGACATGCTGTACTGGACGTGGCAGCAAAGGGGAGAAAACAAGTTCAAGTTTCCTGCAGCTTTTGGGAACATTCCGATGATTCCGTTCAACATTCCACCGTGGGCTGTGTTTGATTCCGAAGCAGATCTTTGTGTGACATACGCCCTTCCCTCTAAAGGTTCGTGTCATGAATGCTTTTGTTAACTGTATCATAAACACTATAGTGTCAGCTGTTAGAGAAAATTGGTGACATGTGGATCGCATAAAGACATTTTTAAAAAGAATACTATTATTCCTTATATTTTTTATAACGTTGCTGTCTGCATCTGCGTTTTCTGTTCCTCTGATTCTTTGCTCCCTCCTCCCCGCACCATTTCATGCTGTTTTACAGGAATTTACACAGTATTGTATTATTATAATCTTGTCATTATGTTCGTATTTGTTTAATCATGTATCAGAGGAAAAATCATTAAGAAAAAAAAAATTTCTGCGAATGTCATTCTCAAAGCAGAACTTGATTAAAGTTTTAAAAATTCTGTTTAACTAAAATATTGAGGCTTTTCAATTTTTTGTTTTTACATGTGAATGTTTCTTAATATTTTTCATTATCACAGAGTAAATTAAATATGGAGGAAAGTGAAACTCCTCATTTTCTGTAGATTTCACATTGATAAAGAACTTAACGGGTTTTGATGCAAATGATGTTTCTCTGACACTGACGCTGCGTCATTCACTGACTCTCTGTGTCTGACAGGACATCCGTGTAACACGACAAAGATTGCTCCAAAACGACCAAAGCCTGGCATCAGGAGAGGGGACACTGATCCTAATGAGGTCTATGGTCTGGATGGATATGATCCATTTGGATATTCTGAAGATGGTTATGATCGCAAAGGCATGGATCCGTATGGATTTGGAAGAAATGGTGAGACTCCCAAGTTATCATTTTTTTTTCTTCTCCATTGTTGTATGTTTAACTCTCTACTGAACTCGCAGTATCTCTACTGAACTCTGTATTGGTCTTTTCAAAGGTAGGACTCTTTGTGCCTTTTGAGCATTTTTTTGTTGTTGCAGGGAGGAGTACTTTGGGATGGATGGTAAAATAAGCTACAACTCTGAAACAACTTTTCTTATTTTAAAACTTTGCAGTTACACTGTGAGCAGTACAAAATACCCCATCTGGTCACTCAGCCAGGAGAGCGACTGCAACAGACTTCTCGGACCTGGCCTGGCGCCGTTCTGATCAAGCTTATATGTATCTTTTATTTTTTTTACGTTAACTTTTCTTGTTGTCTGACAAAAGGTTTTTGTATGTGTGTTCTGAAAGACCAAAAGTGCTCAATGTGTGAACTTGACATTTCTGATTTCATCCAGGATTCAGTCGGGATGGTTATAACAGCCAAGGTTACGACATTGGAGGCTTCAACAGATATGGTTTCAACGCAGAGGGCTACGATCGTTACGGCTTCAATGTTGCTGGTGTGGATGCTCAAGGAAACAGAGACACGACCGGGAGGTTTGACTTTGAAGGATACGACATCGACTGCTTCAACAGAGAAGGTGAGTCACTTTCTTCTGTGCCTTGCCACGCCTTCTTCTCCTCTCACCAGCCTGTATTTTCCACTAGTGTCTCTGCAGCCTCTTTTCTCATTAATTGATAACTCCTTATTAACGTAGGCTTTTTATGGCTGTTCTTGTAGGTGATTTCTACTTTCATTTTCTTTTTTTGCTGTGTTGCCTTGTCGTGCATTGGACAACTTTTTCTTAAGTCTAATGTTTCCATTCTTAGTGTTTGGTCCAACCACAGTTAACATTGAAACTTGTTTGAGGTAAATCATAAATCAGTTTTTATCTAACTTATATTGAATTTAGGAAACACTGTAAATGCTTCTTGCATGCTGTAGGCTACTCATAGAAGCGGAGATAAAAAATACTTTAGGCTGTTTTTTTAAAAGAGTATTCTAATCTGGGGTAAACACTTCGTTGTTCAATGTTCAATTTTTCTTATCTCTGCTTCTTTTTCTTTGACCTTTGAGTTTAATAAGAAATTTTCCAAAAGTAATTTAATGTTTTCTTTAACTTCTTGCATTGTTAACTGTTTCAGTCAAGGTGATGTTTTTCTCACCATGTTATGCTTGCATGTTATTTGTTTAAGAACTAATAGTAGTGGGGAAAAACCTCTGCTAAAAAAGCTAATTCTCATCTGTGCTTTTTATGAATATTAGGTCAAACATATACATTCATTTTTTTTGTTATTCAGAGATTCAGTCAGAACTAAACAGATGAAGTGTTAAAATGTGTTCTCTCACTGAATTGAATATTTGATTGAATTTGAAACATTAATGAATATCTTAATTTTATGAATGGGACTTCACTTATGTTTCTTTAATTCTCACTTTCCTAATCTCTCAGTCGAGATTTAAAAGATGAAGTGTTAAAATGTTTTCTCTCTCTGAATTCAATATTTTTTCAACAATTGTAAGATGAGTCAATTTCTTAATTCTATGAATGGGACTTCACTTCAGTTTCATTCATTCTCACTTTCCTAATCTCTCTATTCTCTCTTTTATTTCACTTTCACATCCCATCTACTCAGATTTCTACATTATGTACTTTGTTTGTTACTTAATGATCAGGGCTCACAAGACAAGGCCTGGATCAGTACGGCTTCTACAAAACTGGTGTAGACAAGGATGGCTGCAGCTTCTATTTCCAAGGACCGTTTTCTCCAATACACTCGTATCGTCTACATTCTGTACTTGTTCGGCAACCAAAGAGCTTTCTGATGTCACTGGCTCGAACATGCACTGGTTTGTCTCCCTTGCCAGGCAACTGGCTGGACCTGAACTGGGTGTCCACAACGAAGGATGTCACTGGTACGTGTCAGGATTAACTCTTTAAACTCTGAGATTTTTTCACCATTTCCGGAGTTTTTTCTACTGTCACCTAAACCTGGCGCACTATGTCTCATTATAAACCCAAAAGCTTGCTTCCAACTTCTAAATGGACAAATCAAAGGCTTAGTCATTATTAAAAACAAACAAAAATTAGCACTAAACGAAACAAAACAGTTGTCACTGGTATCGGACGTTCCAAGCGCATGATGGGAAACAGGGTTATTACCGCAGGACGCTCCTAGCATCCGATGGGGTTTAAAGAGTCAATGCTGACATTCTCTTGTCAGAGGCTTTTGGTTAAAACAACTTTTTTGAAAAGACACAGCTGCAGTGAATGTTCAGCTCAACACTCAAAGCCATTAATGGTATTTGATAATATAACAGAATAGAGTGACAGAATGTGTCCAAATTCCTTCAAATGGAAGGCTCAAGTGGCTTTACCGTTGTGTTTCTATTTATTTCAATTTATGTTGTTGTTGCCCTGATTTCACTCCAGCATTTGATCACCTAATCTGGAAAACCTTCATGAGAGGCCCTTTTCACAGACTGGAAGTTCACAATGAAATGTCTCATAGACAGAACTTGGCAGAGAATGCCCTGAAAAAATAAGTTTCATGCAGAATGCGTGTTAATGAGCAAAAGTTTCCAGAGCTGATCTTTTGTTGAAGATGAGGGTCTCATCATCTGTCTTATAGGGCGAGGCAGGGTCACATTATATTTTCAATATGTTAGGGGCTTGAAGGCTTTGTTATACCTATATGAATTCTGTAGTATATAGAAAATGATAAAATAAAACTTGGATCAGAAAACTCACACAAAGGATTCTTGAGTTTGGCCAGCTTGCATGCACAAAGATTCTCTTCATTAGATACGATACAGTATTATGCCCAGTATCAGCTGGTGAATATGTCTTTTTTGTTTGCTCTTTGATCTCTTTAGTTTAATAAGCGATGAGTTTTACGGCACTCCAAACTGCATAAGGTCATATGAGCGCGCCTTTGGTCTCTACAGCTATGGTACCTGTGAAGCTTCCAGACATGCAGACGGGAGTATCTAGCCGCTTCTGCTTTAACACCCGAATGTTCCTGACGTCTTGCGAGTGTGACGCTGACCTTGCGGTGTGCGATGAGAACCCGTGCGCTGGTGCGGTGTGCAAGGCTTTCCCTGAGGCTGAGTGCCGCATCAGTTTCTGCGGAGCCTGTGTGGCCAAATGGTTCCATGAGGGCAAGGAGGTGGACTGTGAACTGGACAGAGGTTAGATTTTTTTCTTTTGTGAGTGGGATAAAATATTCGTGTAGTGGACTCTTTAGGTGAGGAAATATAGTATAGATTATGAAGTGCAAAGAGCTTGCTGTTGAGCGGGGATTTGCGCTATACAAATACTATCTACAGTGGAAACCTGATGTAACAGGGATGGTGGGATCATAGAAAAAGTCCTGTTATATCCGATCCATGTTAAATCAGAAATGCAAGGGAATTCAGCATTTGTGGACTAATCCAGCTGTATTTATTCATTGGTAGTTTCCCTTGCCACAAGTACCCATGAACGGGGGTTTTGGCCATTGGCAGGCCTATGCATGACACATTACGCACGCGTGTAGCTAGGCTTAGGGCAAGAAGACCAAAGTCTGCAGCACACCGCAGCCCTCTCTCGCTTCTCCCGATGCGTGTGCTTGCAGCAGTAGCGTGGCTTGCGTGGGCTTGCTCAATCACTGCGTTACTCTCTCTCTCTCTCTCTCTCTCTCTCTCTCTCTCTCTGTCTCTCTCTCTCTTACTTTTTATACATGTGATGCCCTGTTATTACCGATAATTTTTAATAAAAGCAAAGAGTAGGAAAAAACTGGGATTTTAAAATTAAATTATTATATGAGGGGCTGAGATGCAAAACCCGCTACATCCATTTTAGCACTTTTGAGAAAATCAGCTTTTTTTTAAAATGCTGCTGCACACACGAACATTTGTAAAAAGAAGATTTTTTGGTGGCTTTCATGAAATATGTGTTGGGTTTTGGTCGAAAACACTTCGTGTATCTGATAGCCAGTAAAAATATGCATTTATAAGCAAAAAAATCTTGATTTTTTTTCTCCAAAATGTCACTTAGCGAGTTTTGCATCTCATCCCCTTATATTCACATCTTAGACTGATCACTGGATTCGGGTTCACTGTTTCTCCTAGCATGTTGTAGGATGCTGTTTTTATGAATTATGCAACAGGACTTTGTCTTTTTTTAATGGGAAGATATGTTTTGCGTTTCCTGGTCTTGACATAAATGGCTTGTTTTGGGTACATGCAGCATTCATACACATGTATCTCAGCACAGGTGAGGCTATTGTTTTTTGTTTTGGTAAAAGTTTAACAGCACTTGCAACACAATTACGTCATATAAGTGCCGACGTTTGAGGGGTTACAAGAGAGTAACATGCACAAAAAAGGAGGAGAGATAAGGATGAAAGATGTTTGATAGACAAGAAAGAGGAGACTACCGGAGAACCTGCCAATCACCCACAATGATGTTTTAGGGGCTCTGTTTTTTGTTGAGGCTTAAAATACTGTACTATTTGTTGATATATTTCAGACCACTGCGCCCCCAACCCGTGCCAGAACGGCGGTACGTGCCAACCATCAATCTGGCCCCACGAGCCCCACCTGATCACCTGCCAGTGTCCACCTGGGTTCGAAGGTCCTCTGTGTCAGTACACAGCTCTAGATCCTTGTAGTCTGCCTCTCAGCACAGGTGAGTCAATGATTTGTTTTAGTTGAGGTTTTACAGCGCTTGCAACTGCATAAGGTCATATGAGCGCCATAAGTCAATGGTTAAAGGGATGTGCTTTTCTTGAAGCTATAAAACACTCTATTTGTGAATGCTTGCCATGAAGCTAAGAATGGTTTAGAATGCTGTAGAGTAGGCTTTATAGAGTTAATGATGAATTGTTAAGAGCATAGAGCCTACTTTGAGTAGAAATATGCACTGTGTAAATGGCATTTATTATTAGTGTTATTGTTGCTGTCATTCCTCTTATAATGGAAATATTCCAGCAAGGACAAATTGGGTTCCTCCTTCAGGTTTTGTCTACCCACAATGGAAAATTGGTTAATTTAGCAAAAAAGTTTTGCTTATAAATTAAGAAATAATGAAAAAAAAAAATTTCATTTCATTGATCAATGTTGTTCTCTTTTGCAGGTTCTTGCTCAAGCAGAGAGTCGAGATGGTACTTTAACCAGCTCAGCGGACGATGTCAGAAGTTCACATATCTTGGTTGCCATGGCAATGCAAATAACTTTGCCTCCATTTTTGAGTGCCAAGAGAGATGCATCAAAGGATCATGCTGTACCCGCACCCCAAAAATTCGTAGTCAGAACATTGGATTTGACAGTCAAGGATATGATAAGTATGTCTGACTTTTTTTATGAGTTCTTCTGTGTCATTTTGTTGTTGGCTTATCATTGTGTTCACCTGTTTCAGTTGAAATATCTGCTGCATGAAAAAATAGAGGATGCAAAACAATTTTTGTGGTCTGTAATTTTTCAAAGTCCTCTGGGTTTTAAAAAAATAATAATTTAGGCGCAGTTTTCTTTGCTGTTTCTTCTTGAACACGTACAGTTTATTATAGTAGAACAGCCAAACCTGCCGTGATGGTCACCTGTTCTTGTTAAAAATAGATGGGTATTTTTTCACTAATCAACACGCTGTATGATGATACCAATAGCTCTAGCTATATGTCCAAATATTGATGAACGCCTGATTTCACCGCATCGTGACACATATTAAAATGATTCTGTCATAGAGGATGGCCTGTCTGAGATGACCACTTTTCTTCTGAGCATTGGGTGGTTATCTTGTAGGCCTACATTTGATAATACTTATATTTAAGAACTTGGTACCAGTATGCTGAAGTATGAATAAAGTAGTTCAATGTAATATACTGGTATACTACAGTACGAAAGTAGTCCAATATAATATTTTGGTAAGCTAAAATACGGAAATAGTCCTACATGATATTTTGGTAATCAAAAGAAATGGAAGTTGTGCTACACAATATTTTGGTAATCAAAAGTATCTCAAAATTCATCATTACTTTCCATTAGCTTTGAGTTTGTCTCATTCTGACTTGTTTGCTTGTCCCTTCTCAGTTGTGTTCAATTGTCTCGTGATACAGGTATGGATTCAATCAAGAGGGACTGAACAGATTTGGGGACAGGAGAAATGTTGACAACAGCTTCCCACTCAGTACCCGTCGCTTTGACGAGTCCGGTCTGGACTGGCAAGGTGCGTTTATGGACTAGGTCGATGTGGTCTCACAAATTCAAAATCAGAAAAAGATTTTTTCTAGATAGGCTATAATTTTAATTAGTTACTTCATCTTGTTTCTTCTGTCAACTATTCAGCATCCAAGACTTGTACAATGTTTCATGGGAAAGTTGGTTTCAGTCATTAGAATGTTTCAGTTAAACATATTTCATGTTTGTGTGCTCCGATCTGATTATTGAAAAAAAAAGTATTTTTAGATATTGCTTATAGCAGTTGGTGAGCTGCTGATACCATGAATAGAAACTGTATTAGGAGAGACGGAAACTGATTTTAAAAAGTTCTACTTTTGCTGCTTGGTAGTAGAAATTTACTGCCCTGATTTCCTGTGATTCTTGGAAAGAAAATCAGGAGCGGAATAAGGCTCTTTGTTAATGGACACTATTTAAGTTAGAAAGGATTTTTCCGTCCTACTAAATGTCAATGTTCACTAGTTGCAGTTACTGCCATGTCTGTGTTGTTGTTTCTTCCACTATCAGGTTATAACAGAGAGGGCTATGGTGAAGATGGCTTGAGCAGAGCTGGCTTTGACAAGTACGGCTTTGATGTGGACGGCTTCAACATCAGTGGGTACAGCCGTAGTGGAGAGTTTGACGGGATCATTGACTATGATGAAGAAGGATATGATCCTGAGGGATTTAACAGGTAATTCTTCCTTCTTTGTATTTAAAGTAAAAGTTGTTCCCGCATCCTCTCCGGACATTGGGGATTGCCTTGTTAGTGAGACAACTTCTTGGGCCTTCGGCATATTGTGATAGGGTGGCCAGCCAGTTCCTTTCCACGCCGCCTTTACTTCCCCAACTCGAAGTCAGGTACCCATTACTGCTGGGTGGGCAGGAGGGGGTGAAAAAAATGCGTGTCTGAACCAAGCTTGAACCCGGACTTTCTGCTTCGCAGACAAGCACACTAACTGCTCCGCCCCCACACCCTGATATTTAAAGTAGATTTTCAAATTTGGCCTTTCAGTTGAAATTTTTTGGTGTCATTCTAGTCTCTACCTTATTGTCTCATTTTGTAAGTGTTTACCTTTGTACTTTGATATAGTATGGGGTGAATGCCCCTACAACTGATGAAAGGAAAAGCTCTTGTGAAAATTTTTTTTTGGGGGGTGTGGGGGGGGGGGAGGGGCGCAACATTCAGAAACACTCTTTTCTAGTTTTTGGCTCTCAAAGATTGTGGTTATTTTGTGATATAGGCTACAAATGATATGTGTTTTTATTATTATTGTTATTATTTGCGGAGGTAATTGACATATGTGTACGTCTTTTTGCTTTCAGGATAGGTCTGTCTTGTCATGGGAATGACAGAATGGGACTGGACCTGTACGGAGTGTCGGGCGCCTACTCTTACAGCTGTGACATCACCACTCTGTCTCGGTGTCAGGAGAGAGCCAGTGAGTTACTTGGTGCTGTGGAGTTTGTGGGCGTTTCTTGTTCTTTTTGTGTCTGTATAGCTTTTCTTTAGCTTCCTATATTTAAGTTAAGTGAGGTGAGCAGTTGGGGAGGGAGAGGGTGGATGAAGAAAGAGGATGGGGGATAGAGGAGGTTTGGAATGAGGGACACGTGATGGAGAGGGGGAAGGGTGAAGAAGATTCTCTTTGCTCTTCTTCTGCATTGTTCTTTTTGTTCTTATATAGCTTTTCTTTAACTTTCCATATTTAGGTAAAGTGAGGGGGAGGGGGGAGTTAGGGAGGGAGAGGGTGGACGAAATGAGAGAGGGATGGATTGAAGAAGGGTGAAATGGGGGACAGGGGATGGAAAGGGGGAAGGGTGGAGTAGATTCTTTTTTGCTCTTCTTCTGCATTCTCTCAATCAGGCTCTGTGATAGCTTCTAAGATGCCATGCACTGTACATCAGATGTTCTTCTCCCTGTTGTCACTTTCAAAAGTACAGTATAGGCCTATACAGTTTTCACAGTTTTACAGGAGAGCCAAGGAAATGAATGCTTTTACCAAGAAAACAACACTTGCTTTAAAAATAATAAGGAAATGATATCAAAATTGTATTTCTAAAATCAGCGATTTGGGATGTTTCAAAGAGTTTGTTTTCTTGGCAACAGCATTTCCTGTAAAAATAATTTTAAAAAACTGCATGTACTGTATTTTAAAAAAAGATGGCTGTCTGTATGCTGTTGTAATCAGTAGGACCTGTCCTTTGTGTAACTATGCATATGAGACAGTGGACCATCACCTTTTCCACTGTACAGCTCTAAATGACATCAGAGCTATCCTTCTCCCTCCGACACCTAACATTGACAACACACTCTATGGAACATTATAGCAACTGCAGCAAACCTGCACTTATCACTACATGGCATTGGACAGAAGGGCGAGAGCCCAGCTGTTGCTGGATTGATAACAACAACAACAACAACAACAACAACAACAACAACAATCAGTAGGACCTATTTTGCCCCTTGTAGTTTCTTCTTTAGGCTAGGGCCCAATGACCTACACCATGTTCCTTTTCTGTTCTATTCTAGGAGAAGGGGAAGAGGTCGTCAAGTTTACCCTGGGGAAGACGTGCCAAGAATCTGGCTGTGGTGAGCCGTGTGGCTGTCGCCATGGCAATAAGACCTTCTCCATATATGAGCAGTTCCAGCTCGGCTGCCAGACGTGTTCATGTACAGAGAAGGGCGTCATCCTGTGTGTCTGCGACTTTGCTGTAAAGAGGAAAGAAATCAGGGAAATGTCCCGTGATGAACTGGACAGGTGCGAGGGTTTTTTAAATTTTGTTGAGTACTTTTGTCTGTTAGGGATGATCATTTGATCTAATCTTATCTTAACAAATTTTCAAATTGGAATGGAAAGTATTTTTGTGAAATATAGCTTGGTTAATCCCTGTTCAATAAAAGATTTTGGTAGGCTTTGTCCTTTCTCGATTATTCTTCGTAAGTACTGTCCCATTTGGCATAGATCTCACGTTATTAGATTTTGTCATTTTTTACACTATAAAGTCATTTTGAAAGACTTGAAAGAATGCATATTGCTGTAACTGATCAACAAGGATTGCATCATTATTTAAAACAGTGTTAGGCTCTTTTTGTTTTGAGAATTAATTGAGTAGTTTAATCAAGTGGCCAATAATTTTCTCCTCCCAAGATATAAAAGTTTAAAACATGATAGAACTATTGTATACAGCACAAGACCACACAGAACACTTAAACAGAGTTGAAAGAATGGTGTCCCCAATAGAAATACAAAACTCTTTACAATTGGAATGGATATATCGCTTATGTTTGATATTGATTTTCTCATTGATAAACCAGAACTTGAAGTTTTTAAGGACTTTGTGGACACAAGTGACTGAGTGTGTAAAATTTTTTCTGAGTTCATAGGTCAACATTATTTATTCTTTCCTGGCTTGTGCATGAATACTCTGCTTTCCATTTCAAAGAAATGATGACTGATCCTGTTTGTATCAGACTGAGTTGCCTTTTTTGTTTCTTTTGTGGGCAACGTTAAGTTCATTTCTCCTCATATTTTTCAGATTTATCTGGGAGTTTTTAAGGATTTTCCTTCTCTTTCAGATACCAGTCCGCTGTGAGACGACTGACTCAAAACACGGGATATCCCTCTCAGTGGTTTGAGTTTGCCTCAGTTTACGCCTCGTACAAACCACAGGCAGCTGGCAGTCCCCTCTTCCTTCCATGGAACAGGCAGTTCTTGAGAAACATGGAACAAGCCATTCAGAACATTGACTGCGGTGTGGCGATCCCGTACTATGATTGGACAGTGGATGCAGGAAAACCCCACCAGTCTTCCATCTGGGCAGCAAATGTGATGGGAGGGAACGGAGGGGAGCAGGACTGTGTGAGATACCACCCGTTCAAGTCCTACCACCCACCGTACTTGAGTCCCTGCCTGCGGAGGAGATTCAACACTTCTGTCAGCCTGCCCTCCGTCGTGAATGTGGAACTGGCTTTGAGGGAACCGTCCTACGATCGCTTCAGGCTGCAGGTGGAAATATTTGCTCGGGTGTACCAGAGTTTTGTTGGGGGTCACATGGCCTCAGATTTTGCACCTTACGACCCGTTGTTCTACTCCCTGATGGCCACGGTCGACAAGCTGTGGACTGATTGGCAGGATAGACACAAAGAGGGAATGTTGTCTTTCCCACTTGATTATCGATACGTCAGGCTCGACCCTTTTAAGACAACTCCTGATGATGTGTTTGACTCCCGTATTCAGCTCTGTGTGGATTATTTCCCCCTTACAGAGGGTGTACCGTGCAATATTACAGAGGTTCGGACATATGGATACAACTCTCAAGGATATGACCGTCATGGCTTTAACAGAGAAGGTTATGACAGAGATGGATATAACATTCGCGGATATGATGTTTCAGGGAATTTGGATGACCGGAACATCTATAACATTGATGGCTATGACAGAGAAGGATTCAATCGCAGTGGGTTTGATGATTCAGGTATAGACAGATTTGGATTTTTCACAGATACCTACAACTTGGATGAGTTTGATCCCCTAGGTTTTGATCGATCTGGGTACAATCGCTATGGATATAACCAACAGGGCTTCACACCATACGGCCTTCATGCTAACGGATCTTATTTACCAAACATCAATATTGAAGATTTGAACATCTTTGACCCCTATGGTTACAACAAATATGGATATGACAAACAAGGGTTTGATCGAAATGGATTTGATGTTTTTGGATTCGACCGGAGAGGGTTTGACAATCGTATTTGCAACTACTATTATATAGGTCCTATTCATATACTGGTTAAACGGTATATTGCAAAGACCATCAAAGACATGAATGTCACAATTCTCACCAAAGTGAAACGAGTATGCCCAGAGTTGTCCTCCCTTCCCGTGCAAACGCGAAGACAGCAGTGGTTGAACCGAGGCGGGCAGAGATCTCAGATTGACGACGTTCACCGGTACCAAGTTGAAGGTCATACTGTGGACACCATGTTTATGCCGCGGGAGACCAGTGTCACCACAGATCTTGTCTGGCTTCCCATTGCCCCTGATGAAAGGTAACGTTTAATTGCGCTAACAATAATAACATTTTTCTTTTTGTGTCTTTCCAACAGGTAGAGTTTCTGCAAACCTAAATACTAGATACTTCATTTACTTTTTTACTTTTTCATCCTATATTGCTGTAAAGCGTTGAGGGCAGATATAGTTTTCTATGGTACGCTAACTGTTAATTCAAAGTCATCCTGTAATGTGTACCAGGGTTGTGGTTTCATAAGGATCTACGTTATTATTATCTATTATTGTAGTATTTCAAACTATGATAGAACAGTGGATACTGGAATATGCATTTGAGTGAACATGTGCGTTATATGAATGCAATTATTATTGTTGGTTGTTTTTATATTATTTTTATGATTAATATTATTATTATTATTAGCCTACTATTTTTATTTTTATTATTACTACTGGATGTGTGTTGTATAATTATGGTATGTAGGCTACATTAAATCTTTTGGAAAATGAATATGTAGGCCCTATATAATATAATTTTTGACATCTTGAGTTTCTTTTTGACATCAGATATTTTGTTGTTTTGAGACTGACAAGTACCAAAAACACATGCATGCAAACACACAAACACACAAACACACACACAAACACGCACACACACACACACACACACACACA